ACGGCCTTTAAAGTAGAACTTACGTTTATATCGTTGAACACTTATACTGAATCTCTGTCTCTTAATTTGTAATTCGTTTCTATTTTCTTGTGGAACAATGTTCGCGAGCAGATACAGAAAGCAAATTACTAAGTGGACAGTCGCATTTGCTATCACATGTTCATTGAAATGCTCACTCCCTCGCCCGGAGTTTGTGATGATCATGTCATCATTTTTCCTACCTCCATTCTGCAACGGCGGTAACTCCTCTTCCACCAATTTTAGATCCGTCGGCTTCGCCTCATTCACGAAGTGATTCACCACCACGTACTTTCTCGTCTTCACCATCTCGCGTAGATGCGTAGACAACTTTCGGATCCAAAGGTGTCTCGTCACTCGTGCTCAGTCTCGTCGCTGTGATGTCGTCGATGCTATCGCGAAGGGGACGAGCAGTTATGGTCGTAAGGACGTAAAACTGGCGCTGTACTGGCAGTCACTATTGCATATCGAAATGAGGCTTTATTTCGCCCATCGCTATTGTGTAATTAGGTCATTGAATTTATCATTGAATTTATCAAGAAAAACAAATTATGCTTAGCAAAAATTGTTAATATAATGATATTTAATTAACATATTGAATCACCCAGTGCTGGGCATCAGAATTTAAAACTTTGTCTTTATCGCAGACTGCCATTATGGAAGAGTATTCTGAAGCTTTTTATTGTTGAATTTATTAGAAGAGAGTGCAAAACCGGATATTACAGACGATCCTCTCATCCACTCCAATGATCTTGACATATATCTTGTATCTAGGATTATATATTTTATTCGGACCTGTATTTTAAACTTTTTAATGAACAACGGCTGAGACATGTTGCAGGATAAGTCAGAGCCGTGTTCTTGACGATAGGCGAGGTCACTTCTGGTATACAATTTTATCAATTTTTTTGTTAATTTTATATTATGTCATTTACGGGGGTAATAGGGATTTTTCAGAAAAAATAACAGCACAAAGTTGCGATCGAACGATATGTTTTATTTAATAAACTTCATATTTTATTGCACATTATGCAATATCAAACAATTGTCTAAATATCAATTGCAACTACATATTTTTCACAGCCTCTGTTTGTTTTTACTGCAAGAATGCAAAAGGTATATTTATTACAAATGGTTTGACAAGAAAAAAGAACCTGACTATTCGTTCAATTGCGTTTTGAATGTTGTTCGATGATAACACGCTGTGTAATTCTGACCTTATAAATGTGTAAATACCTGAATAATATTAAAAAACGTGAAGAATGCTGAGAAAAGTTTACAGGATAAAACGCTCATTTTGGTCCGAAATGAGTGTTTAAGCAGAAACAACTGAAAATTGCGTAAAGTCGATATACGACCTTGCGCAAGTGATCAGTCGATTGGCATCTTACGCAGATCGTTGATGTCTACACCTTGACGATCGCTTTTCCGATGTTCTCTCCGCGCATCATGCCGATGAACGCATCGAACATGTTTTCGAAGCCTTTCGTCACGGTCTCGCGGTAACGGAGCTTACCCTCGCGTATCCACTGCAAGTTCTGCGTGATTCCCTCGAGCCAGCGGTCCGACCAACGCGTAACAACGAATCCTTCGATCTTCATTTGGTTGAAGATTATCGCAGGTTGCAGAACCGTGCATTTAGGCAAGGCCGAAGGGTCCGCGTCATAGTTCGATATACAACCGCACACGGCAACCCGGCTGAATGGTCTCATCTGGTACATGACTGTGTTGGAAACCTCTCCGCCAACCTGTTAATTAACGTGGTTTAAGTCCCAATAGCTAATTGGAAGGAAGAACGTAGTTTCTTTCAATTATTTCGAGGTGGAATTTTTAACACTAGAGCTACCAAAAGTAGGTAAAAATAACTGGTTTCTATACTTTTTTAAATTACTCAAATTTATAACAGTACATTTTCTAAGATCTTCCACCATTCTTGCTTCGTAAAGTTTTGCCTATGTAAATTATTAAATCCATTGATTTATATTTCTCTTGATCCCCTTTTCAAAGGTATGTACATATACACTGTTTAAACAGCAAAAATTAATCGCTCATTATTCCATTGTTAACAGAATTTGGCGAAATGTAATAATTTTGAAATTACAACAAATGGTGTGTTCTTTGCTGCTTTCGCCGCGAAAAGTTTTATCAAGAGTGACTGAAGTTATCTACAATTTAATTGATCGAAGTAAGAAGAGTATCTTTTATCAATACGCACATTATCGAAATAACAATCCACGCCTCGCGGAGCGGCTTTGCGTAAGCTGGACGCGATTGGCATGGTCTTATAGTTGATGGCTGTATCAAAACCCATTTCCTCAGTAAGCCACTTGCACTTCTCGTCGGAGCCGCATATACCGATGACCGTCAGGCCCAGATTCTTGGCGATCTGGCCCACGTGCGAGCCGACCGCACCGGCGGCTCCGCTGACGACGATTGTTTCGCCGGGCTTCGGTTTGCATAATTCCAGCAAGCCGAAATACGCCGTGTTGCTGTGAGCAAGAGAGACAGAGAGTTTCATTTAAATAATTTATGGTATGTGTCTTTTACTCCTGCTATTGACGTAAAAAATAAATACGCATATCTCATAAAATTATAATTTTTATCTCGAATTTTAGGAATTTCTATTTAATGCTGGCGTCGGTTTATGATTTGCATAATTCACACATTAAAAATTTAGATGCACGTCGGCGTAGTCGCAACCCTAGTAGCACTGTGCAGTGGCTCAACATTGGCCCATCACAACCAAATATTGGGCCAATGTTTAACTAATGTTTGCCTAATGCACTGTGCTATTAGGGAAATGAAAGACGATAAATTACTTAGAACCGTGGAGTCCTTTATATTTTATAAACGCGGTTCTTTTTCTCGCAAGACTATAAGCAAGCGCGTGCCACATTACAGAGCATGTAAGCTTGCGAAAATTCTTACCCCGGCATTCCCAGCATGCCTAGGCCTAGGGACGGCGGCAGATTGCCTAGGTCCGGCAAAATGTACGGTGTTGACTCGAACGCTGCATCGACGGTATTCGGCTTGACTATCGTGTGAGTTCTCCAGCCCAGGTTCCCGACGATCCTCTTGCCAACCGGGAAATCTGGATTTTTCGACTCCACGATCTTGGCGACCTGACTACCGATCATTGTGATCCCGACCGGGAACTTTTGCAGGTACGGTCTCATGTATGGATCCACAGATAAGTACTCGGCTTCCGCGAGATATTCTAAATGAAAGAAAAAATATATAACAACCTTTTAATCACAGGATAATTTATGGCTGATAAAATTAATTTAATATCGATAATTAAGAGTGCTAATAGAATAGCGATCACCACAGTTTCATCAGCACTATTAATTATTAATAATAATTATTAAATATGAAGCCAATTTTTAGGTCCGAGCGAGATGTAGGTAGCACAATAATTTAAAATCTAATATGTGAATTCATATACCGTTTTCCACCTGCGCGCCGTTTTACTTTCGGACAATTACAATGTAATAATAATAAATGTAAACGAAAACATTATTTGCATAATTAGGTGAAAAAAAATCATATATTACGGTAGAAAATATTAAAAGACGAAATCGAGCAACTTGCCGACAGCTTAATTTTTGTATTTCGTTACATTAATTCGGTATCTATTACGAAACAAAATTATTTATAGATATGAATGAATTTAATGTTACATCAGCATTTGCATGCAAATCATCTTGCTGATACGCCTCGAACAAAATCATATGTAAATTACTCGCTATATAATCTGCGTGCCGTAACATGTATATGTGCACATTTATCTATAATTTATGTCACGTATACTGTAGCAACACACACAGATCGCGTTATAGTGTTTGTATTGTTTCTGGTATCACTGTACGACGCTGTGAGCGATTATCGTAGTAAAATGTGATTCGTCATTGTGCGTATCTGCCTTGCTTATAGTAGAACTTTATACGTTTATATCGTTGAACACTTGTACTGAATCTCTGTCTCTTAATTTGTAATTCGTTCCTATTTTCTTGTGGAACAATGTTCGCGAGCAGATACAGAAAGCAAATTACTAAGTGGACAGTCGCATTTGCTATCACACGTTCTTTGAAATGCTCACTCGCCCGGAGTTTGTGATGATCATGTCATCATTTTTCCTACCTCCATTCTGCAACGGCGGTAACTCCTCTTCCACCAATTTTAGATCCGTCGGCTTCGCCTCGTTCACGAAGTGATTCACCACCACGTACTTTCTCGCCTTCACCATCTCGCGTAGATGCGTAGACAACTTTCGGTTCCAAAGGTGTCTCGTGCTCAGTCTCGTCGCTGTGATGTCGTCGATGCTATCGCGAAGGGGACGAGCAATTACGGTCGTATTGAAGCAATGATGACCCCACGACAGCTGGCGCTGTACTGCTTTAAACATGATTATCACGACTTTGATATTCCCACACGAGTCGTTTAAAACACGTTTCCTGGCGCTCAGGTATGTACTCCGCTTTCTTAAAGAGGGGGGGAAACCGGTTGGTTGGTTCGGAATAATAAACATTGACCTTTGAATTATCTTATCACATTAACGATATTCTGCAAGATAAGAACGCAAGGTGTGTCTGAACTTGTCCCCTATAAAAGATAATTAAATACGATTAAGTTAATTTCTCTAATCAGTTATTTTTATTCTCGTCAAAACTGCAGCAGTTATGTAATACAACGCTATATACTATAATTGTACCATATTTATCGGAGATTTCAATCGGATCGCGACTTAAACGTACATGGAAGTTCGGTGGATCAGTTACACTATACATTGCGTGTATAAACGGCCGTGCTCTCTTCGGCACCCAATTAAAAGTTACAAACAATCTCAACGGGTTTCTAAAATAATGATATAAAAATAGTAGGACATTTCTATCGAGCGCATAATCCATTCCACATTTATCGTAACTCGTTTTGTTTGACTCTACAAAATTTGTACGCGCTACGTCAGATCTACCGTGCAATTCGAACTCAATTATGTACAGACATCGCGAGACTCGCGCTACGCCGAACTTCAGATGGTAGTTGGAAAGATAGCTTTGTATTTTGCGAACCCAAATCTCTCCGGTAGGAAGGGGCAATCTCGAGGAATCAATTTTACATAATAAATTCCCGTCGATTCCTTTTACCTACATCTTTTTCTCAAGGACACCGTTGCGCGATTATGAAATCGCGACTAGAATAAATAATCTATTATAAAAACATTTCGTGCCGCAACACCGGTAATCTAAACGTTTCTATCTACGTGCTCGTTATCGCGATTTTCTAAGACGATAACGCAATAATACGATTAAATTTCAAGGAGGATACCCTTTCCGAATTATGTCCTTCTAATTTCGACTTTCATACACATTTACGTTACGCAGTTCATTCTTATTTTTCGTCCATGTCGGGCTACAATGTCTAGGGCATTAAAAAATCAAATACAAAAAAATATTAAAAAATTGCAGATCGTTTAATCGGTTCGCTGTAATGCCCAATATTGTACGGTACTAATTTACCGAAGGCGCTTCTCGTGCGCCTTGCTGCAGTCTAGAAAAAAAGTTTATTTTTACAAAAATTCTGGTATTACAAAAAAAGCTCGGTATAATTCGATATGTTACATCAGACGTTCGTACGATAAAGTTGCTACCTACCCGTCACTATCAATTTTAGATACGCAAAACAAAATCGTGTACATATTTTCTCTGCATTTGTCTGCATTAAAAGTTGCGTGTTAACTAAAAGTATAGCGGGTTGTCAGTCTTCTTGTCAGAAGAACGTTAAATATCCTCGATTAAGACAGTCTATATTTTCTACTGGATGCTTAACCGTCCGTTTTATGGCAAGTGTTTTCCCAAGGAATGACTTGTTAATAAATAATTATATCAATTATATTAAAACTATATTAAAATTATTTCAGAGTAAAAACTTCTGAGTCGTGGAATAACGATCCGAATGAGCACGAAAATATCTATATTATGTTACCTACATAACTTATTTTGTGCACGTTATATTTGCAGTCGCTTAATTGTCAACACCGCACTATTCATGAAATTAGATTGTTACTTTTTATCTTTCATAATCCATCGAAATAGTGAGGTGAGAATATATAATATATCAGCATCTTTGTAATCATTAAATAAATTAATACTCTCTATGTTGCACGCTAAATTCTATATGTGTATATATACAATCTGAAAGTCTGATATAAAGTTATCTTCTTGCACTTCGAAAAGCATAAGGGAAAATTAGGAACGTTATTACACTTAGTAATGAAGAAGTTAAAATGGGGCGAAGATAATGTAAGACAAGTTATCTTTTTATAATAGTGATTAAATTGATCATCCGACATCAATTTTCCCATCCGAGTCCCATTTTGTCCTATTCTTTTACATCCGTTGTGTAATGTTGCTAATTTTTATTTCTAAGTACAGTCGAGTACGACGATTTTCTAACAGCGAAATATCACTTTATAATTATCACGATGCTAAGAGGTTACAAACAGCAATTGATTCGATTTGCTTGATAATTGTTGGATCGAATTCAATCGCGTTAACACGATCGGATCTACGATAAAATTGCTATCGTTATTTACGTTAGTTTTACGAAGTTTTAACAAATTATCTCGTATTTCTTATCTGCAACAGAGAAGATTTCCCCTTTAGTTGAAATTGGAGAAGTCGGTTTTTAATTTGATCGACGGCGCGGATATCTTGATCGGCGGTTTTACAGGATCAAGTCGGGTATGCCGCTGTGCCTGCTGATGGCTGGTTCTTACGGCGTTCTCCAATTTAGTTTTCAGTTCGGTCGATTGTGACATCAGCGTCTTAAATTCCTAGCAATATAAACGGTTACTTGATAAACTTATATCATTCAGAAGATATTTTCGAAATATTGTAGGTACCTGCGGATATTTTGGCCCGATCTTATTGAGCCACTGAAAACTCTGTTGGTGAAGGCTCGCTTGGTACTTTGTAGCGCGCTGGAGCTCGTCCCCTTCCAGCAAGTAATTGATCAAAATGGGTACAAGCAGAGTCAGCATTTGAATACCTAATAATGCCATGAAACGTCACGTGTATGTTAAGCTCGACAAATGTACAGTAAATTATAACTAATTGATTAACATGTTAAAAGATTAGATTATGAAGGCCGCACTTTTCACACACCTTGTAACAGATCTCCTGTACAGCGTGTAACACATATTGCATTAATGTTTCACGAGTTGATCACGAGACATAATTCCGTAGTAAAAGTTTCTTGTAAGTTCAATTAGGATAACTTACGATTAGAGAGGTCGGCGATTCCTATGAGGGCTTCCACCGTGCTGATGCATTCCAGCGTAAAAGTCAGTTCCATGTCGTTTGTCACCTGTTTGCTCTTATCGCTGTACAGGTATTCTACCAGTCGTGGAGCGAGTGCATGGATGTATGGCGTACTTATATTACGTTCCGGATGCAGAAATATCGTTCTTAATGTTTGCACGCATTTCAACTTTACCTAGGTACAAGATTACTCGATTACTTTTAAGATTAACAATTAGGGATCACATTTTCTTTGCGTGTCATCAGCTCACCGTTAAATTTTCCGACTGGAACGCATGCCGGAAGTGATTAATACATGGAAATTGCAGAATTGGAGCGCTCACCACATCTGGTGACGCATGGAGCACGAATACTGCGATGCCTAGCATCATTGCCACCTCATCCATCTTAGTCTCGTCATTGCCTATAAAGGTAAACCAGGTAAAATTAAACTAAGTAAAGTACACAATGTTAATGTCTTCGATTACTATGATAGATATTATGTATCGATATAAGGAACACACGCGAGATATGTTTTCTATTTTCTGATATTTCATAAATAAGGGATACGCGTTTGTAGTTCAATGTCCATCCTGTAAAATTAACATGCCTGTTTTGGCCAGATCTATAATCTTGGCGAGCGCGCTTCGCAGTAATCCCGTCCATTGCTCTTGACTCCTATGATCCCGGGCGTATTTGTTACTGATGAGATTCTTGACGCAGTGTAACGCAGCGTGAACCGGCGCTTCCGAACTGGCCTTCGTGATATCGTTGTCCGTACGCACCGCGGTTTCGCGTATCACGCCCGTTGCCAAATACAGAAGCGTCGGGAGAATTGCTACTGCACCTTTAAGAAACAGGGTAATTTGCTATGGGACTGCTGATTAACGATATTAATTAACGTAGGCGCTTTGCGAGGATACCTTGCGGGGAACATAATGTAGGAAGAGATTCCATTATATTGAGGGACGATGCGATCAGCTTGCCAGTCTTCTCGGATGGTACGTATCCTTTCTGAGACAAGATGGCCGTGGCGCCGCCGGGATTCGGATTCAGCGCTGGTATCTGCCGTACCAGGAGACACAGACATACCTCCAGGACAGCGAACACCAATGATTTGCCTGGCGTAAGCTCGCCACTTTCTTCTCCCTCACCCAGCAGATCCAGTTCTGTCGTTTCGTTGCTTTCTTCATGCGCCGATGCGTTATCTAAACAAAAAGATACACATTCTATTACATGTATTATTTATGTAAACGCGCGTGCGTATACAGTGCAAAAATTTGTCAAAATTATTGGGAATAATTTTCGAGTTGGCGTACCTTTGAGCTTTAATTTTTTCCTCGCAGTAAGATCTTCCTGCGCTGCTTTCATCACTTGCTTCAGTACCTCCATCACTATCATTTGGATGACATAACTCTCTCGCGTTAAAAGCAATCTTTAAAGCAACAAACATGTCGATATTAATAATACGCGACAGAAAAATTAATTGTATACTTTCATACATGTGCACATACCTATGAAGAACATTACATAATTCGATCGGCAAGGAACGATCCGTGATGAAGACCTTACGTGCCCACGTTGAATCGAGCAGCGTGTATAACGCATTTAAGCATGTCTTTATATTTTGCGGGGACTCGGAAGAGCGAGGGCTGCACAATGCCTCCATGCATATACCTAGAAATAACGATAACGAAAAAGAATGTTACATATTCTGTCGAGGCATAATCGTATAAAGTAAATTATGTTGGCATTGTGTACACACGTGTAAGCATTTTAATATTTTATAGATCACATACTCACCAAATAACAAGTGAAAACGTTCAACATTCATATTAGTTTTAGAATTAGAAGCAGCAGCTTCGTCGTTGTTATTAATATTGTTATGATTGTTATTATTTGTAAGATTCGACGTCGCCTTCTCCTGGCTGTCGTCCCCCATTTCGAATCCTCTCGCATTGAGCCAGAGGGTCGCGGCGTGAAGAATCGGTGCCCACGATTCTACATAATGAGGACGCGCGGACTCCATAGTGTCTGTCGTGTAAAAGGCACCACCGTCGTGCGGCAACTGACTGGAGAATTCTGGTGAGATATCATAATAGTTTTAATTATTATATTAATTAAACACATAGTTTTGCACAATATATTTCTACATTTCATTAGATTCAATAATACCTGGTGGCAAAGAGAGTAGCGCATGATCTCTTAACGCGGACAGCCAATGTTGACTTAGACTCAATAGCTCCGGCTGCACGAGGCTGAGCAAACTTTCGCTCTGAAACTCGAACTCCCCAAAATCTTCCTCGTTAGCTTCGTCAACTTGATTCGCGTTTCGATTAGTGGTATCTTTGCTATTCAATGCGGATCCGTCTCTTATCATCGCAACTACGTACACCTGTAAGGAAAAATCAAATTTAATTTTCTCTTTCTCAACAAATAAATTTGATATTTCGTATTCCCGCATATATTGTTTGCTTATGTTAAATATGAATAATATTTGATATACCTCTGCCCATGCTTTCAGGATTGCCAATCTCTCCAACGTCGACAGGCTCTCATTATACAGCTGCGGTCGAGTGTTACCTTCTCTCAATTTCTCCAGCGATGACACGAGTAATTGATGCACTCTCCGTAGATCATTGAGATCTCTAGCGACACCGCTGCCGATCCATGCGCTGCAAGCTTCGCAGGCTGCGGCTGTAACATGCGACGGTGTTTCCGCAGAAAATGCTGGTCTTAAAGCAGCTCCGACCTTTAAAAAGATTCATATTTGATATAATTATTCAGTTATTAAAAAATATGGAATAAATTGAGACTTACTTGTGCTTGAAACTGCTCCAGCAACAAGTGTCCGGGAAACTCCGGCTCGGGAACTTTGGCGAATTTATCAATGATTTCTTGCAAGGTCTTGAGACCTTCGAGCCGCAATGGATCGCAATCACTCGTTGCGGCCATGAATGCCATGCGCACCAAGTCCGATAGATGTAACACCAGAAAATCTCCTGTAAGATCCCATACGAATGAGTATTTAAAAAAATCAAGGAAAATCTACGGAAAGACGGCAACGTTAGAGACTTTGTCAGTCGCACCTTTTCCCTTAGATTGCTGCAACTCTTTGGCTAGGGCGAGATCAAAGTGCGCCTGCTTGTCATTCACGCAAGCCGCGACGATGCGTCGAACGCACTGTGCCGCGAAGACTCTCGTTGGCCACCTCGGTGTGATAGACGGTCGCTGTTTCGTAGATTCGTCGGCGTGGAACTCAGCCTGGTCGTCGTCGCCCTCGGCATCCGCCGATTCGTTATCAACGGCGCTGTCCTCCGCATTCGCCGCATTGCCTTCTTCGACCGTGCTCGATTCTATATGTAACGAAACGAAATATTTCACATAATTCTTCAAAGATGAAGGACGATTAATTGGCAGAACTTGACTTACCTGAAGCTATCGTGAGAACATCTTTGCACAGTGACAACCATTGAGACAGGTTGTCGGCCGCTAATATGTGCAGCATGCTCGTTAAAGTATCGTGAATATCTTTGATTAATTTACTGTCAGTTTCCGTATCCAGCATACTGAATAACACGCCCGGAAGACCGGTCTCAGTGATAACGAGACCTTCCACCACGTTAGTATCTCTGCTTTCATTAGCCAGAGTCATCGCATGCTCGCATACTTCTTTCGCTTCGCGCTGAGCGAGCTGCCGAAGACACGATATTGCAGCTTTACGCAGGAGTAAATGATTGCTCGATAGAGTACGCTGTAAACGAAATAATCAGATGAAATAACAAAGATTTTACAACAACGAAATCCTCAAGAGCTTGAGAGGCCTTACGCATAGTGTAGGAACGAGGGAAGATAAATTGACATGTCTGGGTGCAAAGAGATGTAACTGCTGAAGACAGCCGGTCGCTTCGGCCTGAACGAGTGGGTCCTGATGATCCTGCATAATGGCACACGCGCACAAAAATGACGATCGTGCCATACAAATCGTTGTTGTGTTACCTGTAAATAATTCAATGCGTTATCTTCTATAAAATCAACAGTCTATACTTTATTTTTACAATACTATAATATATATTATGTATCTACCTTGTAACTCTGGTCCTATTGTCGTGATGAGCGCAGATAAAACCTTTCCGATGCATTGATGTACATCGATGTAGGAATGAGGAACATTTAGAAGAAGGGTCAGCGCTAGGGACAACGTAGGCTCAACGTAGCCTCTGAACATTGGTCCACCGGAATCAGCTATCAGAGCCAGAGCGTGCAGCGCCCAAACCTTGAGGCAAATTTATTGTACAATTTTTTTTTGTCCAAGTTGACATGAGGATAAATAAAACGGACACTGTGACAATATCTTACTTGCACTACGGGAGACGAATTATCCTGAGCGAGTGCAAGCAGGATGCTGACGCTGGTGTTAAGATGCTGGCTAGAGCCCATTCCGCCGACGTATTTATGAAGGCAGCCCAACGCCAACGAGTGGCCGGTTCTGCTGGCCACATCGCGAGCAGATTTCAACCGGTCAAAACTGGTCTGCGCCAATTCCGCGGTGAACTTGGGATCGGAGATCACCTGAGCCATTCTGCCCACCGCTTCTCCCGCCGCCCATCGTAGAATAGGATTGCTGCTGACCAGCGTGCTGATGATGAGATTAGTGGCGGATTTCTTCACGTCTTCCTGTCCGAAGCCTGTTTTCGCTTCATTGAGACCCTTCAAGCCGCTCAATACAGCCGTGAACACATTCATTTGTATTGCTTCCTGCCTCCCCGACTTGGTATGTTTTATGCACTCGCTGAAGTGATCCAACATCTGCAGTCTGTGCTTGTTTGCCACACGCGGGAATATCTGGCCGAATAACGCGACCGACAAATCAATCACCGCTACACCCAACGGCAAAGGACCAGGGATCATTTCAAACTGTAATTATATTGACAAATTTTAATTATAATTTTCTTTAATTTATAATTGGCAGGATTTAAAACTAATTTATAGGAATATGGGTGTTTTATATTATAAAATTTATTTGTAATAATTTATTTTAAGGAACGATTGCTTAAACTTACGTGTGGCATTGGTCTATAGAGGCAGCATGTATTATGTTCCAATGCCCCAGATCCCGCAGCACTGTTTGGTTGAAGCTGAAAGAAGGATTGTAAATTATAACAAAGTACCGAGTTTGAAATCTTGATAAAAAGTAAAGCTGGACCATATAAAAATCTAAAAAAAATTATGAAATAATACACATAAATTAATATATATTCTTCACTGAAACAAATAAGATATAGATTGTCTTGATATGAGTGAAATGTATAAGGTATTCGATGTATTGAAACTAGGCAAAATGTGAAGTGGCGTACGTATACATATACTCAGTTAATAACATAAAATAATATAATAATAACATCAAAATGAGGTGCATATGAAAAATCTAACAATTTTTATAAAGTTGTATACATACAAACGTAAATAAGGAAAACAAGATAAAGAAACCAAAGGCACATTTTACAGAACACCTTACTCACATGTTCTAAATCTGCCCTTCTGTTTGGTTCCATCTAAACACGAGGATATTTACAAGTTAACGCAAACATTATATTTCATAAAATTTACAATTGCAAGAATGTATGTTATTTTTCATATTTGTAATTACCTAGGTATATTACCAAGTATTTAGTTCGGAAACGAGTTTCTCAAATAAACAATGACTCGGCCAAGCATCGGAAAATGTTATTTACGGGGACAAAAGTATTGCAACGTATAGAAATTAACTCACTTGATCTTCTATTGTGCGATGATCAGTCTCCTGCAGCCACGTACCAAGAATCACAGAGTCGTTGGCGTGGCAAACTACACTCAGTAAGGAAGTAGTCGTGTTTCCAGGATTATCTGTGAGCGTGAACTCCGATACCAGCATTCTCAGAAGATGCGTGTAAGAACCTGTGCGACATCAGATAGCACATTGAAATTCGAGAAGTATAAAATACAGTACTCACATTTATAGTATATAGAGTTTACCTTCAAACATTTGCGGCGGTAGCAGCAACAACGTTTCGTATAAGCGCAAACGAACCATGGCCGCAGGAGCTTTTAATTGCTGACCATAATTCTTCAAAACAGGAGACAAACTGAAAAAGATACATCCAAGTTGTAGAATTGACACTTAACATATTCTGTCTGCCACACTATATTAAAAACAAATATAGCAATATTTAGTACTTTGTCAGCATTGCCAGAGCGGATTCGATCGGCGTGAGTAATCGTCGTGTAATATCGTCGTTCAGAAGTTCCGGGCAGTGCAGCAAGAAACTGTACATAGCGGACAATGCGCCGGCACGTCCTTCCAAAGTCACCTGCCACGTGAAAGCGTCGCCGCGAGCTTTCTCGCTCTCGAGTTCCTTGTTCGAGCGCGGGAAGGAGTTTCTCCAGAGAAGCAACATTCTCGGTAACAAACCCTTTACTACTGCTGTGCCTGTGTGTGTACATATAAATTATGCATGTATGTGTGGCTCACTCTCAAAATTATTATACGTCATTAAATATAAGATATTTATACCTAGAGTCATTATCGCTCCTATCAAGAGCCATCCTGCGTGCGTGCGATTTAAGGACAAGCGACTGTTCTGACTCGCGCTTCTCAGGAGCTCTTCCGCTGTATTGAAAATTATCTGAAAATTGGAAGCTTGGTAAATTAATCCAGCATGATCGGTATAATAAAAAAAAAAGATACAAAAGCACACGTACCTTCCCCTTGGTATGAGGGACTCCCAAAGGTGACAGGCGAACACTTCCTAGCACCGCGGCGAGAGCACTGCTGTAACCGGCTATAGCTTCCGGCGAGCTACGCATATTCTCAATCCCGTCGACGCAACGGTCGATCAGAGGTGTTATCTGACTCGGCACCGCCACGCATATGCACCGTAAACACCAGGAAGCCGCCAGTCTAGCCGCTTGACACGGATGCACCAGAACTGCCATTATGGCATCGATCAGACCTACAACAGATGCATAATTGCATTGTTCAAACTATTTCTGCATATGATAAAGGAGCGAGATCTGTTTTGAAAAATGCGAAAACGCACTTAGAGATTGATCGGATAGCAAGTTCGTAGCTGTGGTACCCAATCCCAATATCAGATTGCCCATTTCTTGCAGCGCGCACACTAACAAATGCTGGCTGAATAATGTCTCCTGATTGCAATCCTTGGCGTTTTCCGGACTGAAATCTAATAAACACCGAGATGATGCACGTGCATTGTGTTAAATATTGACGCGTGAAACATTACTCTTACCGATGGAGTTCATCTGCTTCAAGATGATGTGCGCTATTTCTTTGCAAGCAGCTGCCTGAGCGCCTTCCCCCAACAATTTGCCGATAGTACCGCGCAATATAAAATTGACGCATTTGCGCGAGTACACCGCCTCGACGTGCGAGCTAGCGGCTTTTGGATTTGTAACCAGGTCTAAAACGTGCGCGATTAAAGCGCCGATATTTCGTTCCAGCCAGGTGCCGCCTAACATTTGAACGAACACTACGTACGCCTGTAACAGCGATTATGAAATGTTGGCGAAATATTTTATCGCGGCGAGATATCCTTCGGTAAAATCAAGGGCTCTGTTTGACTCTATAGAAAAATTCTCAATTTACGTAATTCTTTCCTCTCTTAAAAAATATTACAAATATTTTTCGCACAGTTGCATATAAATTTATACGTTATAGTTAAAGACATATGTTTCGTAATCGCTCACGTGTGTCACTCCAACTCGCACTTCTCTATTTATGCTGGAGCTTCCCTTTATGATCTCGCCGGTTCCTTTCAAGAAGCCGACGCCGCCTCTCAAAAATCCGGACATCAGGATATTTAACACCTCTTCAAGCGACGCCTGTTTAACACCTTTGTTGTGCGCAACTAAAAGTACAGCATGTACGTGTTAGAATATGGTTTGCAGATGCATTTCCATACGTTTTCGCCCGTATACCTGTAGGATTTTTTATCTTGGGCGGAGGAAGCTGTGTCATTGCCACCAGGGTGCCTAGCAATTTTGCGACGGAGCATCTCACCTCGTAATTCGAGCCCTCAAATGCTCGGAAGCATAACGTCGCAACGCTTTCGATCTCGGTCGTGTACAGAAACGGGGCGTGATTCAACATCTCCAACAAACACTGTGTACACAAAAATGAATCGCCGTGACTGTAGAGAGAACACACGACATCCTGACTTTTGTAAATACAAGTACCTTAGCAGCGGCGCATCTCACTGCCATCACCCTGTCGGTTAGATAATGCCTCGAAACCTTGTATATCTCCTTATGCACATTGGTTATCGCGGATCCCATTCCAGCGCACACCTTATAAGAAAAACATACGTCACGGTCACACTTGAAAAGTTGAAAACTCGGTAACGAGACCGTTCATCACCTTTTCCAACGTGTGCATGATCTCTATCCGCGTCTGCGATTCCGCGGAGCGCAAGGACTTTATCAGGATCTGCACAGTCTCCTCGTACGACCTGCCCATCATTCGTCCCAGTTTCTCGTACATGCATCCCACGCAGCAAATAGCAGCTCTAGAGAGATGACACGTATGCATACATACCACAGAATTATTAATTACCAAGCGAATGAATAATAATGATAATCAGAGTACTCACAGTTTCGTAGGTAGGAAGCTCGGCGAGTCGTCCTTGTTCCTCAAGATGTCATTGCACTTGTTGACAGTATCGAAGAGCAGAAACGTATCGCCCACGCTGAACAGGGTTGCCAGGCACCTTGCGATGAGACGCCGGGTGGGCGGACCAGGCGCTCCTTGCATATGCCTGGTTAATTGCTCCACTAACTTTTGCTGGCATCCTTTAATATCATTCTGCGAGAATGAGAGTTAAAGTTATTGTCGTACAAGTTACTCCGGTAGCCTCTTAACTAAAAACGTCAGGCTTTTAAGTACCGATACCTTTTGAGCGGCAACCAGAACCTTGTCCAGAAAGCGCAGCCACTCGAAAATGAAGACCGGTCGCTTGGCCTCCGGGATCTGATTGAGGGCATCCTCGTTGAGGGTAAGACTATGACTCAACTCCATCATTGTTTTAAATTAACGCGCACACAGGTTGCTCTCGAATATCACTCGATCTCCTTCTGCAACGCGAGCGGATTAAATTACTCTACCCGCTTTACAATCGCTGGTCGACGACATAGAGACTTGGGAGTTTGGAGTTGCGGGAAAGCGTTGCTCATATCGAGACGTTATCAGCGCTCGAAGGCGGCGTTTATCGTGTGTCATCACGTACCAAGGGACGAGTCGCGCGGGTGTAAGGAAACGGGGACGCGATAAGACGCGATTAGAACCAATTAGAACAGTCGGCAATGTTTTACGCACCGCAGAAAACGACGGTCCGGGTGTCATCACTCGGCGGCCAGAGACGTTCCCATAGCACCGCTTTCTACTCCGCGCGGGATGTCGCTCGGTCTCGCGCGCTCGTGCGGATCAGTCGTGTCCCGACGACAGCATCGTCCCCGACGTCGTTGCACCCCCGCGGAACTCCGAATTATCGCAACGACGAACGATGCCCCTCTCTCTCTCTCGCCCTCCGTGCGGATGACAAATTTTGACGTTAAGGTTAGGACAGATCGGACTGGGTCACCGCGGGTCTACGACTCTACGTTGATCTACGTCTGGCGGCGAGAGTGTCGCAAACGTGCGCGCGGAGCAGGCGGAGCTCTTTTCAATAGTCGACTATGATTGGTCAATTCTTATGTGTCTGACGGAATTGACCAATCGCAGTCCATTAAAGCCTCCGCTACAATGAGTGCGTTCCGGCAAGACACTGCTACCGTAGCGCTACGGTAGCGCTACGATAGCGCTACACGAGTACGTTTCGGCAAAACGTACCGCTACAACTGTAGCGGAACTTCTTCCTCTTTAACGTTGCTTTCATCTGATGAATCATCGAACAATATGTCATTCATGAGCCAATCTTCAATATATTCCATTCTATTCGTTTCAATTAATTTTGTAAACGAGGTAAACGCGACTCTTATAATTCAATTTTGAGGTTATGTACGCTAATGTATATATGGCACCGCTACAATTGTAGCGAAAAAGCTGTAGCGCTACGGTAGCAGTGTCTTGCCGGAACGCACTCAATGATTCTCGGTTCTGTCTACAATGGTCGTAGTCGTAGTCGCTCGATAAGAATTGACCAATCGCAGTCGATTATTCTTACGACTACGACCATTGGCCGCGTTCAGCAGACACAACTGTTGAGTGAGCGATCAGTATGATTGGTTAATACTTTTAGATCCAGCCAATCACGTTAAGAAATCATTGAGCGCTCACTCAACAGTTGTGTCTGCTGAACGCGGCCATTGTAGACAGAACCGAGAATCATTGTAGCGGAGGCTTTAACTGTAACTTAACTCAGTTACATTTTTTCGACAACTAGTAACTAATTTAATAGTTGACGACGCGCGTCCACCGGATTGCTTCACCTCGTATCTTTCCTCCATGGTGAGAACACGACTTTGAATTTTGTTCGCCGCTTCATGCAAATCCGCTATAACAGCCCCGCTGCGCATGCGCGCGGAAACTTTCCCGGCTTCCCGCGCGGCTAGCGTCGTTCATTTCACGGAAGGCTCTTGAGGTGGACGCGTCTCTTCTCGGCGAGGTAAGCACGAGATATTCGATCGTTCTCGAAATCCATCGGCATCCGCGTGCACACTTCACTCGAGCACCTCGCGACAAGCTTTCTGCGCACTATTCTTGTTGAATTCGACTGCCTCGATTGTATTTTTTTGATCATATCAGCGCAGAGCTTGATCGCAGGCTCTTTTCCTCTCGCCCCGACATGATGAGCATATTTTGTCTCGTTCGTATGATCATCTCTTGATTATAAGCCTTGAGTTTCTCTGATCGCGCCGGCGATCCACGCGGCGACGATCGCGCGCTTCTACTTTGTTGAGATTTTGTTCCCTCCGTTTCTCTTTAAGTGCAGGATTTGTAGAGCCGACCTCATCTTCTCTTTCCTATCGAAGAGCCGGCCGCTTGCACGCGCGCTTATCATCGCAATCGTTTTAGTGAGTATTTTGTTTCTGTTTAGCCACTCATGTTTGAGAAAGACGATTTCGATTCGTCTTGCGCCTCCACTCATTCCCGTTTGAGTTTGCTTGAATCTTTTCGATCACGTGCCGATGGACGATCTCGAGATTGCATTTGAATTTAGCTTCAAGGTTTATTCTTACATATTAAAGCTTTTCTTTTGTTCATTAATTGTGATCCAAATGCAAAGAGATCGTGTCAAAACCGTACGCAAAATTTATTGGATATACAGATTTATTTAATCTTTAATTTAAGGTTTCTCCTTTGTTGAACGCAAAGAGATCGTATCACAAAACGGAAGATTCGTTCGCGTCGCATGCCCCACGATGCTTCTGCTTTTGCCCCAACGACTAGTACCGTCACTAAAACTAATATTGCGTTTGTCTTACGACAAATTTTACAAGCTAGAAAATGTCTAGATGCTTGAGAACTTTCCTATCCTACAGTCAATAAACACGCTTAAAATTTTTGTTATAGGTACGACAAACGCAATATCAGCCTTAATCGCAAATAAAATAACGGTATTGGTCGTTGGGGGCAAAGAGGAGCACGTGGGACCTGCAAACAGACCTAGGGTGCATCCCATTTCACGCACAATGCATCATTTATCTTCGTTATTCGCTTTATTTCGTGAACCGAAGTCTTCTACCGTTAGATATGGATCACCGTTCGAAACTGCGGCCAACCTGGGAAAAAATGGAGAAATCTAATTGCATTTTGAGAGATACAATTAGATATTACATGATTGAAACATATGTGATGAGATTTTTCCATTTTTCCGTTGACTACAGTTTTGGTCTCTATCTCCGGCAATCTATCTCCAAGGGGGAAACTGCTGAGCAAAATCTTGAACACCAATGCCCACTAATGCCCAGTGGTCATTACTTAATCTTTTTATCTTTTTTTATCTGTACACCACAATGCCCTCAGCGGTTTCCCCCTCGTCTACCTCTTATGGTAAGAGACTGGTTCACAAAATAAAACATCCTGCACAAAACTTTCAATTATTAGACGCGCAAATTTGATTGATCTTATATTAAAGTCTCTCCTTTGTTCATAAATGACGACTGTTTAAACGTAAAGAGATTAATATCACAATTCAATTATTGGACTCACAAATTTATTTAAGAAGAAAATTTCTGATGCAAACGCACGGATGCTAAAAGCGCATGGTAGATTTCCTGTTTGAGATTTGATTTCTTTGCCTCTTCGATTTTTATTTCGGCCAATATGAGATTTTCTGTAAATAAATGACATGATGGAAATTTACTGCCCCAGTCTGAGAACTGTGACTGATCCAGTCTACTGATGAAATTATTAATACCTCTTTTTATGAATAAATTGTGGTGAGAATACATTTTAATACACATGTGTCTCGTTTAGGAAGATATGGAGGAGCAAACTGCTACCTGTTACAGATTTTCCCGTGAAATCAGGCGTTTGTGTAAGTGGTCTATGTTTTTATTTTAAACGTAAAAAGATCAAGGTTGGAAAAGTTACTTTATAGCAATATCTAGTTGCAGTTACAATCTAGTTGCAGTTACAGTTTATTCGCTGAAAATGTAACTAGTTACAGTTACTCAAAAAGTAACGAATCGTTACTTTGTAGTTACTTTCTCGCAATAAAAATTACTATAAAATATCAAATCTGCATTTGAATTGTCAAGTGTCGATAAAGGCCAGGCCTAATGCGATCTGCGGAGGCTCGAAATATATATAAAGTAGCTATTAATGTAACTATATATTAAATTAGTTACTAGCTATCGAAAAAATGTAACCGAGTTAAGTTACAATTACAGATAGAGAGAAAGTAACGAAGTTAAATTAGTTACCAAAAAAAGTAACTGTAACGAGTTACTTCCCAACCTTGACAAAGATCTATGTTGTTTTATAATTTGGTAACTGCAATTAGTTAATAAAGATAATTATAAATAACTATACCCTTATGATGAACACGAAACCGCTTCAGTCAATCTGAATACATTGATGAACGATTCGTGTCTGAGCAGCAGCCATTGTAATGAGCATGTATAGTAAATGTGAGATATATGAATTGCACATAAATTATAGTAGTGTATACCATTTCAGATGTTCACCTGGCGAATGGATGAAGCCAAATCTTGACCGGAACATGAGACGCAATAAGAAATATGTAAGTCTAAAACTTCTTAAACTGTTAATAGAAGAGATAATGTTATATTGTCAAAGTTCGCTTTATTGTCTGAATAAATTGACGTGATGAATAAAATGAGTTATCCCTGTCTTACAGAAAAACATGGTGAAAAAGATTTACTGATGCATAAATATGTATCATTGTGTAATTCAAATGAATATACTTTCAAAACTAAATGGAAATAATTTCTTTTTCAGAAACATGTATGGAGAATGCGCAAGGAAGGATTGAAAAATACTTGTTTATTGTCCTGAACAACGAGTATGTCAAAGTGGCGTCTTTCCGAATAAAGTAAGAATTGTTCTTTGTTTAAAAAATTTTTTTCTGATTGTATGATGATATAAATTTGACAAGCATATGTCTGAGAATCCCTTGCTGCTAAACTTTTAATCTGACAGCAAAAATGTAATTATTTTAACTTTCGTGTACAAGTGCTGTGTATAAAGAATATTTTATGTTCGATTTCAGATTGCTATCATTTTGAAGCAATAACGATGCGTGTATCGTTCGTACGTGAATCGTACAGAGGCCTGAAGGTAAATTTTGAAGAAAATAGTTAAATTATATGAGTAATGTTTAGAATACAAATGATGATACATTGTATACGCTATTCTGACTTATGCATGATTGGCACTTGCCCTCTCTGATTTTACTGCCAGCGAAATAGAGAAAAAAAAGAATTTTCTTTTCGTTTATGTTCGATCATAGGATTATTACTTTTGTTACAGATACACTATCAATGTGGCTTCGATACTTGAAGAGAACGTATCCTACATGAAGGTAATGGATCGTTGGCATTAATATATTTTATAACGTTTATGAAATTTTTTTTATTAATATTTAAATACAGGAAAATCTAATTTCAATACAGAAATTACCAAATTTGTTAGAATAGAAAACGTTCCTGACATTTGTGTTATTTTTTTTAAATGATGCTTTTAACAAATATACGCTATGATGTGTAGTGATAATTAGAAACTTACTGATGCAACGCTTAAGCGTAGCGTAAGTCGCGGCTACTGTGTTTTGTTGCTCGAAAAGTTTTGTGTTACTTTTCAGGAAAAGAAGATAGAAGATGAAAGGTGCGGGTAGGAGGAAGAGATAATAAACAGGATGAAATAAATATTCCATAGAAACATGATTCTTTTATTGGAGAACCTTTACAGCTAAGGTACAAAATGCGAAGTAATACGCGTTCCTCTTGGACTAGATACCCATTCCGCGAGAAAATAGTACGTAATAACGGCGTGAGATCGCACGAAGGTGTTGTCGCGAGTTTGCATTGGCGATCGCGTCAGTGGCTCGTCAACGCTATCGTCACGTCTCATCCGTACGTACGAGACATCACATTCATTTCGTTAATCTGCTTCATGCGGAGTGACAATGGAACAACGTAAATAATAATTAGCATTTTGGGACGTTAAGACTGTCCTCTAAAAAAAATAAAAGGGGAGGCAGAGTCGTAATATCACGTTTTACAATATTCAAACTCTGTTGTGTATAAACCTAGTGTACATTTGAAATTGATTCTACTTCGAGTGAACGCGTGGGAAGGTTTAATCGATCACACGGAGAGCTGATAACAATCTAGCGCTCGGTGCATAACACAAGGACGCGCGGAATACAATCGCGAATACATAAAATCCAACAAAATTACACTATAATACATAACGGAGAATGTGCCAGGCTGTCCTGGGATAATCAATATGTGTAAGCGTGTAAAGATTTTAAAAAAGTATTCTTATTCTAAGTCGCCAACAAACAGCTCACAGTAATAAGTTCTATTTTCTTGTATCTAAGGTGTGCAGTGCTATTACGACTGTGTCGTACTTTATAAAAATCACACGCGCTCGCGGGCAAGTTGGTCGCGTCTATATACTCGTAATAATTCGTCGTCGGCCGCATCGAAGGCCGGTGGAGTGGAAACTCGTGTTCTCTCGTCCCTGACACACGCCGCCCGACCGTTTTCTCGAACGTCGCGATGAGCAAGAGATAAGATCGAGTGTTCCGCGGCGTAAACGAGCTAATTGATATTGCGTTCGTACTTCTCTGTTTCGTGAATCACATTGAATATCGGTGGAAATGTCTTGTCGAACGGCGTAGAGATAAATTTCCTACACTGCCACTGATATTGCAAAACACGATCCTAACGTTATGAGATTCAGTTTTAGTTCACGATACATCGGTTAAAATCACTTCTGTCATTGGACACGATACATTCCTTATTAGATAAATATTCTTTGTCTCGTATATGAGTATATTTCGTAATATATTAATATTATATCATTGATTAATAGGATAAAAAATTAAATTTGGTCGTCTCTTGCTTTTAGCGATGAATTCGTATGAATCTAAAAAGGGAGGGGGTGCACTTTGTGTTCCGTGATCGATATAAAAATTTCGCCTTGCTATATGGAATATCTCTTAAAGGTGTAAAAAGACAATATAATGATACTGCGATCATTACGAATCTCTTTACAAGTTACCTATAATTACAATTAATATTAATGAATATAGTTTATACATTAGACACAAAATACCCTTCCTCTCTCTTGAAAGATTCACAATATTTAGAAACGTTTTGAATGCACTTGCAACGTTTGCATCGATATGGTTAGACATAATTTGTGTCGCACGTCAAGCTCTCAGGAATTTACCCTAACACCCTGTGTTTTAGATCGTGTTAGTTGTACGATAGAAAAATTGCGAAGGAATACTCGCCTCCGAGTCCGTCGCCGTTTAAAGAAGCAGCCTTCTTATCAGGTCTCGCACAAAGCTAAATATTCGGCGTTCCGTAAGTTTCCCTTTCGAATAAATCAACATACATTCTCGTTATACGTGGCTATCTTCCTGAGTGACCGCTAGCACCTTGTCGCTGAATATTTATATGAATTAAACGGCACTTTCGACCGCGCGCTGCCATTATTCGCTATACCGATATACTATACATCATATCTACATTGAGCATGTCGCCTGCCAGCTGTCACAACTGGAGCCGGTAATTTGTGATAGGATCGAAGTCTTTCTGGTGGGTAGAATTTAAGGCCATCACGTATCCCCACAGTCGCATGGCGGTCGCGCATACCTTCTGTATCTCGCGAACCTCCTCGAAGTCTAGGTCGGCCCGCCAGTGAAATGGCGCGACCTTGGAATTTCGGAAGGTGCTCGACACGCCGCCCATGTCGTTCTTCGTGTGCGTATCCAGGAATCTCTTCACGTTCGCGTGAAAGTTCAAACCGTAAAAATCGTAAAGCTCCTGCACGTGCTTGTAGGGGTCCACGGACAGGTCCTCGTAGCGCACCACTCTGTGCAACACGTACAAGCAGTATTGAATATTCAGTCCCACATTGACAAAATTATAATTTAACAGGTAGGCGTGACGATTTTAATAAGATAGGTTTCCCCACCCTTTTCACTTTCGATCGTCATTGAAAAAGACCACACGAGTTGGTCGAAACGTTTGACACCGTTAATTTCACATAAATAATATAAATTTGTTGTATCCGCACCTAATATCTAGTGTCTGGCTCTTGTTGTCTCCTACATTGCGTTCGTTTAATTAATGTTTGATACATAGAGCCTTAGAAAAATTATTGTTTCACTACGTAAGATTTTAATAAGATATTTGAAAATCGTACAACTTGGCGAAGCAACAGTATGATTACACGATTCATGTATAACTCAGATGATACAGTTTTGCCAGAAGCTCAATTTCCTGTATTCCTTACAATGATGGACTCCCGCCATTGTTATTTTCTTACAATAGAAATTTAATCGAGTTTCCATTGAAACGATCGAATCGATTCATCTCTATCTAAATTAGTATCAACGATTAATTCGTAGCTTTTCTCAGAAAGATGTTTGCTTAATTATAAAAATATCAATAGGTATTGTACCTGAAAGAACGTGGGTATTTTCTAGACAGTTCTACCGCCGCGCTAAAGTCCGATACCATGTCGGCGCAAAGCAGAGCCGGATCGGAGCAATCGGGTTTAGCGGGACACCATTCCCTGTGCTTTCTGGATTGCAGAACGCCTCTCGGATCACGGATGAGTAGAATTAGTCGCACACCTAGACTACAATGCAAACGAGTGCATGTTTTCACGGTACGAAGGGACGTAATGTCCAAATTGCATCTAAAAACCGTCTCGTGCTTTACGGTTGTCACATATATAATTCCTTACCCTTCTTCGGCCAAAAGATTTTCCGCTATTCGCAACCTCAACCGCACGAGCTTCATCGATTGGAACGGAAAGAGCCGGCAAAATTTAGAGACGAAACGCTGATCCCAGCAGATGCGTTTATGCGCTTGGCACTGCCGCCATAAATGCGTGTTGTGATTGAACACCCAAGGATGATAATCCTTGCCATAATCCAGGTACCGATCTATAGCAATTACGATCATACGCAATCATTAAACGTTGCGCCTTCAGATGAGTAGAAATTTGTGTGAAATTACCGAGCTCCTTGTATTCGCAATTCAGCAGAGAGATTATCCTCGTCAAGGATTCCTCGGCGAGCGGCGACTCTCGGATCTGCACGATCCCGTAGTCGAGCAGCGGCTCGTAATGATAAAAATTGGCCGGGTGCGCGTTCACCACGTCGCCGAGGAACGTGCTGCCGCTTCTCCAACTCGTCAGAATTATGTTTCTCATAGGTCTGCCGCCCTTCTCCATCACTAAATCTTCGAGTTTGCTGCAGGCAGGTAATGATTGAACGCTTTGATTTTCAAGCTCGGAAAGTTATTACCGCGCGCGTAGCTCACCTCACGTTTATCCCATATTTTCCGTTTGGGTACTCGTAGTTTTCCATTTCTCTTTTAATCGCCCTCCTTTGTTGGTCAACCACCTCCTGAATTTCGGTGATCGTGGCATTGTCCGCGGATCCCGTGATATACGCCTAGAAAGCAAATTGAGGCCAATTATTAAACAGGGAATTATTGCTCGTTACTTGTTAGCGACATTACATAAATTAATGCAGCGTTAAAAGACATTTTCTCTTTTGAAACGAGTATGCGGTACACATGTCTTAAGTAAGTAAATAAAAAGAAATTCGCGCTTGGAGACTTTAATAAAAGCAGATTTCTACAGCAGGCAGTTTTAATCACGCCACTAGTTACAATGAGGAATAAACGTCGCACGGACCAGTAGATGTTAGTTTATTTAAAGACAGTACCTATTTATGTACCTCCATCTCTCTATACGCATTAAAGAAATAGGATACATACAAGTGTGACGAGTACCGTTCACATTTCGCGGGCAAGCAGACTGGGCGTTTAAATTCACGATCCAAAAACACGGAGGGCACACGTTAATGGAAAGCCGACACACGTAAAAGCTTGTAATACAGTTATAAACAACGAGAGCAGCTGCCTCACAAAGCAACAGTATAATAAAATCAGTAAATCTTACACGGCGTCACATGCGATAGAGGGAGACTAAGTTTATCCAAACGCTAACTTTCTTCGTGAAAGAGAAAAACATAAATTTCCCCATATCACTGTCAGTTAATGACAATACAGTTAACAACGCTAAACGCGCGCGTTTTGAAGGTAACCAAGATAAATCCCGAGTCGAAATTTTGGTACTTCTAAGGATAATTTGCACCTATTTATTATTATACGTTTTGAGATATTCTACGTGCTCAACTTAGAGGAAACACCCTGTATAGTAGAATTAAAGGTTCAACATGGGCCAAAATTTCGATTCGGTATGTTGGGCGTCGAAGAAGCTGAAATGTAGGTAGGGAAAAAAAGAGAATTGTTTCGAACGACAGGAGCTAGTTCTTGCTGTGTCAACATTGCGATAAGATAAGGCACTCTAACAATAAGTGGCACTCTAAACAATCATTAATAACAAGTGGGTAGCGGATTGCGCATTCAGATCGATACACGTGCATACCTGGCTTACCGTTACCGGCTCTTGGATTTTGGTGGTCCGCGGCCTTATCTCGATATCCTATATCGAGGAAGAGAAAAAAAGCATCGACGTTTAGCGTGTCGTTGGTGCGTCTCGCGCCGTGAACGCGAATGGTATCGCTGATGATACGGTATCGTGACGGTGAAATCAATTAATTCTTCTTTCTCAATTCTAGGTAGCGTGCCGGGATTTCTTTCCCCCCCGAGGAACACGAGAGTGCGTGCGAGCGGAGCGAGGTTTACCCGTGAATGCACCTCGTCAGACTGCTGGTACATTGTCAGGTGAGTGAGGGTGAATAATTAAAGGTGCCAGTCTACGCGCGAGCATGCTGATTTCGCGATCATCATATTGCAGGTGACGTTCCTGATGAGGAACTTCTATGCCAGTGGTTCAAACGGTACGTGATCGGCCACCGTGGAGAAGGTGAATCGCAACAAGTCGCGAACGTCGATTGCCTCCCGACGGACCTGATAATCTCCGATAGAGCATATCGGCGGTTTACGAGATGTTTTATCGTTCAAGACGCAGTCGTACCTCTGACATTTTGTAAACGATAGTGAAACGATGGGCGAAAAGGAGAGAGAGAGAGAGGAAGAGGAGGGAAAGGCGAAGAGAGATGGAAACTGGGAGAAAGAGGAGTCGCGTGTCCTTAGACTCCGTTTTGCGTCGAGACAGGTGGGTGAGGAGGAAGAGCTTGAGGCAGAAAGGCTGGACTTGTTTTACCGTCCGAAATAGAGCGTGTTCTCGGCGCGATTCGATTCAGCGCGATCCCCCACCGCGGGAATTTTTACTGACCGATATGACCGGCTGCAGTCGGTGCTCGAGGTAGCTGCTGTAGCGCTGGTTGAACGCGAGGAAGAAGATGCAGACGGACGCCAGGGCTACCAGACCGTAGAAGCTCAGCCGCTTCGACATCCTTAATCCTAGAAGGCGCAGGAACTGGAAAGGACAAAAGATCGTTTATGTACATTTCCGCGGCGGGGCGATTCGAACAGGTGGGGTGCGTCGTCGACTCGAGGAGGATTCGCACGTCTCAAGCTCCTCGTGAATCTGTCGACCAAACTCCAAAGAAAACCTTCCCGGCGCCAAGTTTAATAAAGAGTAAGAGAGGATTGTATTTGAGCAAGAAAATTGGTGACGTAAAGGCGAATTCTTCTCGAGTTCTTTAGAACGGAAATGGAACGGAAAGAGAATGCGTTTCATAATTCGAAAATTCAATAGGAATTCCTCTTGGACTCTCCGTGCTGTTCGAATTGCGGTCGCAAGAGCGAGGCATTTTTGTCGAGAAAATACAATTATCTGTAAGAATGATTTATCGCGAAGAGAAAATTTCTCGGAATCGCCCGATATTTTACACGGGCGACGTATCGGCCAACGGATTTCCTACGACCGTCGCGACAACGGCGAGGGGGAAGATAAATGTCCCATGTTTTCCTTTGATCGTGAACGCGGGACTGCCCGCGGTGACCGAACGCCGGCGCGAGTAATTAAAAGAAAACGCCGCGCCGCTCATTAATTAAAATTCCGCCGCGTAATCGCGATAAGGATTGACGGTGAGGTCAATCGAATAAAAATCACGAGAGGCGCAACCGCGGGGATCTTTCCTGTCGCGCGGCCACGGCGATAAAACGGGGCCACGATAAGACACGAGCGCGACGAAACGATCGATCGCAATTAATTGCTGGGCGGCCGGGAACGGGGGCCGATTCGTCTCACCTTCCGCGAAACGAGATCCGCCGCTGGACGAGGCCTCGCCATCGCTCGCGCGTCGCTCTCTCGCCGAGATCGTGCACCGGCCGCCGTCGGACGTCGCCGCGGCGCGGCATAACAGCCGGCTTTGTCGAAGAAAAAGTCCCCTCGGAAACGATCACCGCGGGCGATCCTCGAAAGCGGAAGCCACCGTCCCGATGCGGAAGAGCCTCGCGCACTTTGCACCGCTGAATTCTAATCCTCGAGAGAGAGCTCGTAAACTTTGTATATATCGCAAGGCGACTTCTCGATGGTTCACGCGCCCACCCTGAAGACTGATCTGTAACGCGCCCTTTGCGTCCGGAAACGTTCTACTTTATGCAGGTTGTCCCATTTTAACTTGGACAGTAGAATATCTCAAAAACCAAGCCCGGCAAACAAAAATGTTTCAGATTCACAAATGTTGTATGGTTTCGAGGGGGGGGGGGGACTTGAGATGGTGTCATTAATTTGACCTCGAATAGTTGCTTGAGGATCACGTGAAGGTCACCTCCAGTTTTGTAAATCTTATTCTACTAATTAATATGAGCAACTTTTGTCTGAACATTTTTCGATTCGCCTAATACTTTTTGAGATACTAAAGAGAAAATGTATAACTGTTTCAATGTTTAGCACATGATATCTCGATAACTGTTTGTCGGAGGGAAAAGTCGTACCGGACTTTTTTTACTTTATTTTGTCTCAGGAATATGCTGTTGCGATAGTGCTCCAATTGTTGAAAATTTTTGTGTATGTTACAATACACGAAAATGTTCAATAATTGAAACACTATTTTTTACTACCGTACAAATTTTATTAATTTGCTTTTAAATGTGTCGGCCACGAAATAGAATGTTTCTGACGTGTAGGCACTTCGCAATTTAGGCTTCAGTTCGAACTGCAAACGCGCGGCTTTGCACGCCTCCTCTGGGCCCAATTCTGCCCCTTGAGCCTGACCTACGATGTGCTCTCGGCACCTAGAAACATTCTATTTTATATAAACGAGTCGAAACGCTCAAAAATATTGTCAATGTACAACTGTACAGTGTACGATACGCGCTTTATCCACTTGCGCAAATTTTTTAGACGCATTTGTTGACTGCAAAATAGAATGTTTCTAGACGCAAAGAGCACCTAGTGGATTAGACTTTACACTATAGTAAAAATACTGAAAGTGAGCAGCTTTGTCGCCTTCTCACCGTCCCCTTAGGAGACAAAGCCGCTCACTTTTAGCATTTTCACTACATTGTAAGATACAGACGCTTTCGTGCGGGAATTCAATTAGCGTGGAACTTTTTAAATGTTTTTTCCCGTATCGGACTACGGATTGGGATTGCGATTAGATTGAAATTTGACCAATCAGAGTGAGTCACTTGAGAGTAGCAAACTTCACTCCGAGTGGTCAAAGTTCAATCTAATCTCAATCTCGTAGTCTGACGCAGGCTTTAGAATTCCTTAAACAGCGAGCGTTTGTTTGACAAAATTTCCGAATTTACGGACAAGCGATCCTTAAATTTGATTCCGCGAAAAGTTCCGCCGCACACGCACACGCGGTCCCGTTGTCGTCTTCACGTTGCGCGCGTACGCGAATTCTCTGAAGTTGTCCGAGATCGCGCCGGTTCACTCTCGCGGCGTTCGGCGGAGTAGCGCGAGGACGACAGGCAGGACCGCGCGGGATCGCACGTGCGACCGTGCGCGACGCCGCACGCTCCGGACCTTAGCGAACGGTAGGAAGAAAACTACGACGGCGACGACGACAGTGGCTGCCTGCGTGGTCGTTTCGAAGCGAGCGCGTGCGAGCCGCGACCGCGCGTTCGTCCCCGTCGGCTGCACTCACTCGCGGCCGAGTGCGGCTGGCCGCGCTTCTGCATTCCGTTCCGCGGTGATTACGCGCGGCGATAAGCATCGGCCGCGAATTCGTGAGCGTCGACGGGGCAGGGGCGGAGGAGGAGGAGGAAGAGGAGGAAAAGGAGGTGGCGGCCACGCTTCTCGTCGCGTACACCAACGGAATTCTCTCTCTCTCTCTCTCTCTTTCTCTCACCTCGGAATCGTGCACTCGCTGCCGCACATTCGGCCAGCTCAACCGTGACGCTGGAACGACAGCGGGAGTCGCGGCGACGTGCCGCGTACCGCCCCGAGGACGCGGCGGGTAACGACGACGACGGCGACGTTCATCGCGTCGGCCAGCGACGCTCGTGGCCTACTAACGGCTCGGCACCGGACGCGCCGCGCCGCAGGCGCGCGACGGAGTTAACGGCCAGGCGGACGGCGACGACGGCGTACGGACGCCGTATTGCGGGCTCGTGCCAGGCCACAGGCGCCGCGCCGTGCAGGCGCACCGCGCAGTACCTAGCACCGCGATAACGCCACTGTGTCACGAGATTCGCCCAGGTGCGGCTGCACCCTCTACACTCGCCGCTCGCCGCTCTCTCTCTCTCTCTCTCTCCCTCTTTCTCTTTGCCTCTCCCTGCTCCCCGGAATGCGACATCGCGCCGTTCGGCGCGAGAGCGCGGCTGAAACGCGTGACACCCCCCCGCGACTCGGATTTCGCGCGCGGATCGTTGATTTCTCCGCTTTTTGTTATTCACGCCGCTTCCCTCCATTTCCCGTGGGTTCGGACGCGCACGGCGGTGCTGCGTCCGAAGTGCAGGAAGTGCACGGAAGGTATCAGCCGAGATGGACAGATCCAGCTGTTCGATACGAGAGAAATTTTCCCTCGACGCGGAAGCGCCGATGGCGCAGCCGAGGTTCGGTGGTTTCGACGGTTTTGATATCGATTGATAGACTTGGGGATTGCGAAGCGTTTGTAGAGGCACGTGGTACGGTCAACGAGACTCCTTTCCAAGCGTTGATAAACGGCGAAACCTTAGAGCTATATCTCTGTTTCAATCTTAATCCGAAATACATATATCTCGCGTTATTGTTCACGACTCGAGTCCCCGGCGACAAGAGTCTTTCAGTTTCAAGCTGAAGAACGAGCGAGCCCTTTCGATTCATCGTATCTACGGAATGATTCCAGTATACCCCGCGCTAACTGCGTTCCCAGTGAGAAATGATTCGTCGATCGACGCCGAAATGATGTCGAATCGACGTCAATTCGACGGTGTCGATGTCGATTCGACATCGTTTCGACATCGATCGACGAATCATTTCTCACTGGGTTTTGCAGTCGTCGTCAGTTCGTCGCTTCGACGAACGCGCGAACGTTTGGAATTTCAGACGCTTCGTTTGAAATTACACGCGCCGTTTCCCCGCCTCTTCCGCGACAAACGCTACGCGGGCTCGATTGTCGAAGTTATTCGTAGAAAAAACGTATGCGAAAATTCTGCTCTTACAGAAAAGTAGCAGGTTGATTGGCTATTCGCTTTTAACCGATCAATCGACTTGCAACTTCTCTGTCGGAGCCGAATTTTCGTATACGTTTCTCCTTCGAGTGAATTCAAGAATCGAGCCCAGCGTCGCGTTTCAGCGCGCGGGTACGCGCGCTCGGGCTCGCCCCTGCGTTTCCAACAGATTTACGGGAATTACCGACGAGGTTACCGACTCGCCGAGCGGTGCGCGCGGGCGCCGCCGCGCGGCGCCACGTGCGCCGCCGCGACGCAGCGCGGCTCGTCCGCGCTCGCGCTTCAGTCGGATGCTGACACTCGAGCGGCGCATACGTGATTCGGGGAAGTTGTCTCGCGGCGCGCGCGCGCGTACCCTTCCCCAGCGCCCCTGTCTCACTCGCTTTATCACTCACTCTCGCACACACACACACACTCTCTCTCTCTCTCTTTCTTTCTCCCCCTCACGGGAGAGACGGACATGACGCGCGAAGCGTAGCCACTTTCGTCCGGCCGAAGGAGGCGTCGAATTATCAGCCTCTTCTCTCCCGTTCGTCGCGCCGCGTTCTCGTTCTCGTCGCCGCTTTCTCGCCGACGACGTACGCACTCTCGCGAGCGTCTCTCTCCCACCTTCCCTCTCGCCCGCCCGCCCCTCGGCCCTTGCCGCCCGCCTCAGCCGGGGCGAGCCGAAAACTCGTTATGCTCCGGGTATCCCGTCTCGAACCGGTAACACCTCGCGTCTAGCGAGAGGCAGAGAGAGAGAGTGCGCGAACTTGTTCGCCGTCGTCGTCGTCGTCGCCGTCGTTCGGGG